AAAACCACAACAGATCAAAGGGGGAAAAGTCTACTTTTAGTCACACTGACTGACTTCCCAGGGTTCCCACCAGCATGCTGTGCACTACTGTCCTAACAGCTTCAAAGTGCATCCTGCAAAAGCCTGGGGGCCTGTGGTAGCATCTGTTGCCATCACAGGTTGCAACTGCTGGGGGCTGGGAGACTTCTCCAATCCCCCACATACTTAAGCCAGAATGGTTCCATGTTTGTTGGGTTACAGTTCAGAGTTTGGTGTAAATTATCCATTGGGAAAGAAAGGGTTCCATTGTTCAAATAAACATTTTTTGTGTCTATCTCCACCATCAGTATGTCTGAGGTGGTATTTACAGAGCCCCTCCCAAGTGCCAGGCTAGGTGCTAAAGAATCAATGGTGAGCAACACAGACATGGCCGCTGCCCTGTGGGAGCTTAGTCTCATGAAGTTGGGCACTAATCAAACCCAGTCATACAAATATAAAGGTAGAACCAGGAGAAGAACTGAAAGGAGGGGCACTATGTAAATCTAAGATGTAGGATTTGACTAGACGACTAGGAGTTAACCAGGCACAGAGGGAACAGTATGTGCCAAGGCACTGTGGCAGGAAACCTGGTGCCTACGGCAGTCTAGAGAAAGGCTCATGTCATTGGAGTCCAAAAGTGAGAAAGAGGATGACAGAAGATGAGGTTAGAAAGGGAGGGAGGGCCTTGGTCATGTGGGACCTTCCAGGCCTTTGTAAGGATTTTGGCTTTTACCCTAAAGGAAAGAAAGCCACATGTTATGAACTGAATGTATGTTCCCAAAATTCATATGTTGAAGCCCTCACCCCCAAAGTGATTGTATTTGGAAGTGGAGCCTTTGGGAACTGATTAGGTTTAGATGAGGCCATGAGGGTAAAGCCATGATGGGATTAATGTCTGTTATCCTAAGAGAGACCACAGCTCTCACTCTGTCTGCCACCTGAGGACAAACGAGAAGGTGGCCAGCTGGAAGCCAGAAGAGGGCCCTTACCAGGAACCGAATGTGCCAGCACCTTGATCTTAGAGTTTTCAGCCTCCAGAACTGTGAGAAGTCAATGCGCTGCTTAAGCCCCCCAGTCTATGGTGTTTTGTCACAGCAGCCCCAGCTAATACACTGTGGAAAGGTAAACCCTGGATGCAGGCTGGGGAACAGACTGGAGAGGGCTGGGATGGAAGCAAGAAGACCATGCTGGAGGCTGCCTCAGGACCAAGATGGGAAATGGTCACAGGGACACAGGCTGGGGGGTGGTGATAGAAGTGACAAGTGACTTCACACGGGGCTGATCTGCTGAGAGGCATACATTCCTGTGAGAATAACTGGCTGGGGGTCAGGGGGTAGGGGAGGGAAGAGACCCTAGCACCGGCTCAGGCCTCAGGTGGCAAGGGCCTGTCCCCCTCGACCATGATATTCCTTCAGGCTCCAAACTGCAGACTAATGATATCATGAGGCTGACTTCTGAGGAAAATTTCATTACCAAGGGTTTCTCATGCTCTCCAAATTCTTCTGTAAATTTGTGATGATAAAAATCGATTTCCAGAGAGCAGGGCACGGAGAGGAGAACTGTGTAGCTCTGTTCCACTTATCAGGCAGAGTGACACCTTCATTATCATTAGAATGATGAATTGGTGGCACAAAGAACCATTTTCCAAGACTGGTGCATGGCCCTGTTCCCTGCAACCCTCTGTGCACTGCTATCTGTTTTAATTTTACAGACACTTCCTTCCCAGAGCAGAGTTAGAGTCCAGGGTGATGCTGCTCTCCTTCTTGGCCAAGAGGAACCCCTTCTCAGCAGAGAGCTGTCATCAGCGGCCAAAAATTACAGGCATTACCTTTGCGACTCAGCCAGAGGTAGAGGACTTACTTTGCAAGGTCCAACAGGGTCACCCCAGAATTTCAGAGATCAAAGGCATAGGAGAGGTCACCCAGGCCTAGTGCATTTTCACACACACACACACACACACACACACACACACACACACACACGGAAAACAGCTGACTGGACCAATCAAGCTGGTTCACTACCTGTACCAACTGGCCCCTGTCCTCCCTCCCCTCTCCTACACAGAGGTACATGTTTGGGGGACTGACTATATGCCAGGGTATAGCTAACCACAAACATGCTTCATCTCAGGTCCCTCTCACAGCAATCCTACAAGGAGAACACAGTTACTAGTCCCATTCTACAGATGAGAAACCTGAGGTTCAGGGAGGTTAGTGCAGCTGCCCAAAGGCTCACAACTAGTCTGATGCCAGAGCCTACACCCTGACAGTCTTCTAACATGCAGCCCCGTTCTCTGAAAGAGCACACAACCTACTCTTTGTGCTTCCTGGTCCTGGAATTAGGGTGGAAAGCAGAGGCTGCAGGAATAGGGAGCAGGCACTAATAAACAGATGTTTGCAATGGACACCGAAACCTGGCACGGTAGGAATCCTATCCTAATCCTAGCTAGTATCCAGCCACCACATCCCATGCAACATGCAATATTATTGCTGCCTCATGCATTCATTACTGGAAGTGTTACTTAGTTTCCAAATATGTGGGGCTTTTCTAGTTACCCAGTTGTCCTTTACCTGTAACTTAATTGCATGGTGCTCAGAAATGTGCTCTATGGGATTTCACTCCCTTGAAGTCTGTTGAGAAATAGATATTCTTTCTAATCCTCAAAACTAACCTACAAGGAAGGTATTTTTATTTCCTTCAAATCAGGAAACTGAGGTTCAGGTGGTTAATTAACATCCTTAAAGCAGCTCCCTGGTACAGTGCTGAAGATGAAATCTTAAAGGAGTCATCTGACTCCACTGGCCTTTCTCCATTCCCCACACAGCACGTTAGAAAACAAACACCACAAATTTCATGTTATGTATATTTTAACACAATAATAATAAACAAAACAAACATAGTTAAAAAAGCACAATTTCATTTTGTGTAAGTATAGAGGCTCCCTTACTACATATGCGTAGAGACAATTTATTGATTTATGTGTAAGCATAACAACACACCTGGTGGGTAATATAAACTTTATTCGTGTGCCTCTCCTAACAGCTCATTGTGAGAACTTGTTCACTCTTGTTCCACTTGGAATTTCACCATGTGAAGCTATGTGGACTGCTATATTATTATAGGACTTATAAGACAATTCTCTTCTGGCTCTGCTGATTTTTCTTATGCTAACTTCTAATCTAAGGCTAAAATTTTTCACAAGAGGGTCTCTCATTAGAAAGTAAAAGGTTAAAAAGTCCACCCCAAGTTTGTTCTAAACCAAAAATGTAGCATGCTTTCCACACTTAAAGATCAGAGATTCTTGGATTAGAACTCAGAGATCCTGACAGGGATTTGCCCAGGGTCATGCAGCTCACTGGGAAATGGCATGCGCAGATCTCTGAAAACCTGCACAGACAGGCATAGCACCATGTGACCTCTGAAGCAAGGGAAGACTCCCAAAGCTAACTACCCCCTTTCCCTCCAGGCACACTGTGCTACATGGTGCAGGGGCTCAGCCACTCATGACTTGTGTGCCTTTGACTAGGTAATATATTTAAGCCTCAGTTTCTTCATCTGGAAAGTGGGGTGATAATACCTGCACCTCACAGACTGTTGTGAAGACTATGTGTGCAAAGCCCTTTGCATAGCAGCTGGCAGAGTGAGTATTCAACGTTGCTTTTCTGACTTCCACCAAACAGGGATCCCTTAACCTTTGCCCTTGAACTTCTCAAGTCTTGTTCTCCTTAGTCTGCCTGACTCTACATAAACCCTTTCAACTCTTTCAAATCTCTGTAACTAAGTCAACTTCATATACTTATGGGCATCGATAAAGGGCAAGGAGCCCAGTTTCTCTTCCACTAGGACCTGTCAGAACAGTAATTACTAAAGCCAGTTACAAAGCAGAGGTCACAAGTCAAGCCTGTTGGTCTTGGATTTAAATCTCAGCTCTACCCTGTACGAGGTAAAGCACAACTTCTTTGTGCTCCAATTTCTCTTTGTGTCAACTTGGGATAAATTAGCTCACAGGCCATGTAGTAAGGATGACATGAGAGAATACTATGTGTTTGGCACAGAGCAACTGAAGAATGTTTATGCTTGGAAGGCCTGTGGAGGTCTGGTCCCAACCCTTTATTTGACAAATGAGGTAAGGGAAGTCCAGAGGCGAGGTGAACTGCCCAGGGTTGCTCACAATTAGCCTATGACAAAGCATACGCCTATTAATAAATGCTTGCTGTGTTTTTCACCACTTCCTGCCACACTGTTAATGAATTTATCAGGTTGTACTGGCAGGAAAAAAGTAAGTGCTCAGTCCTTAAGAAAACATATTTCATGTTATATGGACAAAACACCTAAACGGGAAGATGTTGCTGTTGTGGCAGAGAATCAATGGCAACCTTGTGAAACAGGCAGAGCGGGAAACCAATGCATCAACGCTGATGCGATCATCTGTTCTCTCACATTAATCGTTTCCATCCCCCTCTGCGGCCACCAACCCCACGGAAGGGAATGACACTTCTGAGATTGAATTCAATTTCAGCTGCCCTTCCAACTCAGCTTCAGCCCAATTTCATCTGTTCAGAGCCGAGCAGAAGCCTTCTGCTGATGGGACAGGCATGCAGGGGCTTCAGAGCCCTTGGAGTTTGACTGACCTGCGGGTAGAAGGTGGACGATGCTGTGCGCGGGCTGCGGACAAACTCCATAAAGAAGGCCCCGTCCTGAAGTCAGAGGAGGAGGAAGCAGCAGCGGCAGCAGCAAATGCAAGGGAGCAAAGGAACAAATGTGGACCCGTGGTGAACCATCAGGGGAAGGAGAGGGTATGAAAGAAAAAAATAAAAATAAAAACAAGGAGGGAAGGAGAGAAACAAGGGCATGTGAGGTGAGGGGGATGGAGGGAAAAAAAGAGAGAGAGAGAAAGAGAGAGAGAGAGAGAGAGAGAGAGAGAGAGAGAGAGAGAGAGAGAGAAAGAAAGATCCACCCAGAAAGACCATATCCAAATGCAAAGCATTAGCAGGAATCCACACCTTCTTGGGCAGAATATCCCACCTGTGTGGGAGCAAGCACAGGGATCGAGGTGTGTCCAAGCTCCCTCAGGTCTCATCGGAGCCTGGCTTGGAGGCCAGCACCCTCCCACATAGCTCTGAACTTCCTTCAGACCTATGTCAAGGGAGAGGAAAAAGCCACTTGGTGGGGATGGTGGGGGAAAGGTTTCAGGGGTCGCTTCCTGGCCTCCCGCCTGGCTGGATGACCAGCAGCCCTCTTGGAGAGACAGAGGCTTGAGGCTTTCAATTCTGCCTGTTAATAAACATGGCAGCCAGATGGGAGAAGAGGATTCAATGCAAGAAAAGTTCGTGCTTAATTTTTTAAGCAAATAGGGGATCCAGAAGCAGCAATACCTTCTCCTCCACTGGTTGGATAACAAAATATCAAGAAGCTGAGACATACAGAGTGTCAGAAACATATGCATCATGGGGTGGGGGTGAGGGTAGGGAGGTGGAGAGTTCTGAAGCTGTCTTCCTCTCTGAACCTATTCTTGTGGGGTGCAAGCTGCCATGTATTTGAAACAAAAACAACATAGAGGACTTTCCCGAAGATCCCTCCTTTCATCTTACTTAAATTCTTGTCCCTTCAAAATACTCTTTATTTTTTCTGCATTACCACTGAAATTCAGAAATGGCACTTGATAAATCTGAAGGTCTACTTTCTTACAACTTTTCTTCAATTCTCAAAATGGAATCACTGAAGTATATGGGTTGGGTGCCCATTTTATCAATACTGTTGCCATTTCCCATCAACCACTGCGAACTCAAATAACAAACCATGGAAATATGTGGCTGTGGAGATACAATCTCAGGACCTCTCTGCATCCTAACACAAGATGCGCTGACTGGGGACACTGTTGGCATTTCTAAGCATGTCACACAGAGGTCTTCCCTTTGGCCATCTCATAACATCTACATTTCTCTTTGACTACTTGGGGATCTACATCTGTGACAAATGATAACCGTCCATGTGGATTTTAGTGCTCAGGGGGAAAATCAGAAGAGTGTGCTAATCGGCAATCTAATATTTGGCCATTGGTGTATTTTAACCTTAATGCTTGTGGTTCTATAATTTCTCTGCTTCTCAGTCCGGCCCTGGGCACTGGTTCTAATCCTCAAAGATGGCAATAAGTAGGGGTAACAGCTAGAGGGCAGCGCACAAGATGCTTATGAATTCTCACTGTTCCATCTGTGTCCCTTCTCTGCTAGAACATATAGAAGTAGAGCTGCTAATGCTGCTGAGGTTTACATACATGTGAAAAGATTCTTCCTGGATGGATAGATCGTTCCTTATGCAGAGACTATCCTTCGGACTGTACCTAAAGTCACTTCCTAGAGCTGGGTGAGGGAACTACAGACTGCAGGCCAAATCCAGCTACTGGTTTATTATAGTCTGTGGGCTAAGGGTGGTTTTTAAAAATTTATATGGAGATAGAAGTACCTACATAATAGCCTTGATCTTGCCTGTTGGCTCACAAAGCCTGAAATACTTACTTAGGTTTGCCAACCGCTAGTCTATAGAATATATGAGCTGCCTATAGCCTCAGTTTATACTTTCTTAGATTTTAACCCCTGCATCCTGGTAGTCTAATTCTACTCATTTATCCCAAAGAAATAATAAGAGATGCGGTCAAATAATTATGTGCAAGGATGTTGTTTGCAGTATTACTTATAATTGTGATACAGCGCAGAATAACTATAAAAACTTATGGAATAATTACCAAAAATCCTTTTTAAAAATCAGAAACCATCTACAATTTTAATAAAAAAGTAAATTACCAATGAGGGTCTATCCATATGGTGATATATTACGTATTATTGAAAAATCATACTTTTACAAAATATTTAATGACTAGAAAATTTTCATGATATGGAAGTAAAATAAACAAATACATAGATAGATGTACAAGTTGGCCACAATTTTGAAAAATGAAATACATGTATTGAATCTCCTTCATCTCCTAGTGATAGAGAGCAGGTAAGAGAACGCAGTCAGCTTACCTTCCCATACTAGAATGATCTCACATTCTGAACTTCCCAGAATGAGTAGACAGAGCCAAGTTTATTCATCTTAAAAGATACAAAAAGCCTGATCTATGGAGTTTCTGGCCCCTCTGCTGGACTTGTTATTTGGTAAAGAGGCCCAAAGCCTCAGGTTTTAATTCCCCCATCCGCTCAGGATGCAATCCATTTGACTGTACTTCTCAGGAATCTAACTGATGGGAATTTCTTTATCAAAGAGTTAGCTCTCATGGAAGCTGCCCCAAGAGCTTTCTCCCTCCCATCTGGGAGAGCCAAGGATGTGGCTGAAGGAAAACCAGATGGCCAATTTCACAGCTCCAACCAGATTTTGGGACTTGACCAATATAGTTTAGCTTGACTATGTTGTATCTGCATTTATCTAGCAGTTAACTTCCTTACAATTGTGAGCAGAAACTGCTTCTTTAGAAATAGTAATGCTTAAAAGGGTTCAGGGTAGAATTCATCCAAATCCTCAGCATATTCAACCCTGGATTCGAATGGCTATTCATTTGGCCCGCCATGTCGGGCCCCTGAGAGCATGAGGCAGCTCCCTGCTGGAGTGGCCCCCTTTACCTTTCGTGGGCTGTCCACGTAGGTGGGAGTCATGGCAACGCTGCTGCTCTCCGCTGGCTGGGAGGAGCTCTTGCCACTGTGCACAGCTGCCTGCTGTTCTCCCATGCACCTGAAAGATGGAAAAACACGTATCTGTGGCTTTTTGGGAGCCCCCTGGTGAAGGGCCCACATTAGCCAAGATGAAATGAAGATACTACTGCTGTCACCTCAGAAACACCCTTCTTTATTTCTCCTTCAGGCCCAACACAATACCCTTCATTGCATTCATTGTCCTGAACAGTCAATAGTCCTCCCAGATAAACAAGAAAAGAGCTCCATTTAAAAAGCACTGTCGTAGTGCTTATAGTATTTACATATTACTTTGAAAAGCCATGTGACATGGTTTGAATGACTCCATCCACAAACAACCCTTTTTTTAATCCTCTGGGAAGACTTGTTCTCGGTTTTCATTAAATATACCAGCAGAAGCACATTCTGAAAATTAGGGCTGCATTAACATGTGGCATAAACTATATGGGGAAATGTGTCAACTCCCCATGCATTTTGAAGGTTTATATGTTAATTTTTCAAATACATGCACTTATATCCCTGCTCCTCTCCCCAACCCCCAATCACACATATCTAACAGACACTATCTCATAACACAAGACAACTATGGTTTTCTTATGACATCTTATCCCATCTCTGTTCTGATGTACATAAAAGTACATAAAAGCATATTTCCACATTTATTTTCCTTTTACCTATACTAAAAATAATTATGAGCTGTCATAACTTAAATGCTCCCCCAAATTTCTTCAACATATCACTGAATTTTTATTTGGTAGAGTTCAGGAGACTCACATTATAGTCTTAAATCTTCATCACTATTGTAACATACACTTCTTGTGGTGTACGCTGTGAGGCACTGCCCAGATCCCTCTGCTATGGCCTTGCTGGCACAGTAGTGGGCCATGTTGTCCAGACTACTCACCTGTCAGCCCCTTTGGGGACAGCCCCAGCTGCAGAGCAGCCTTGTTCAAGCTCCTCCCCCCACCGGCCCCCAGCTGCCCACAGACAATGAGTGATCAACAAGGGGGTGTACAGATCTGGCCATGTTGGTCCAACTGGGCTCATCTCTGAAGGCTGTTCTAGCTCTAGAGCTTGAGTGAGGGGACCCAAGGCTGTCACTGGGCCTGCACTGCACCTGGCTGCTCCCTCTATCCACTCCTGCTTCTTCCTCCCTCCCACACATGCTGAGCCTAAGGCCTCTCCTTAATAAACAACCTGCATGTTAAACTCCATCTCAGCCTGCTTCCCAGAGATCTCAGTCTGTGACACTTCTAAAATTCTGACATGTTTATTACAGATTGTCAAGTAATCTCATACCAGAGATTAAAAATCAGTTTCCATGGTAACCTGTTATACTCTTTTTTTTTCTAGTTTATTATGGAAAAATGTCAAACATATACAAAAGATACTAAATCCCTACATACCCAGCCCCAAAATTATAGAGCCAATCATGTTTCATCTATACTCCTTACCTATACACTCCAATTATTTTGAAGCAAAACATATTTCACCTGTAAGAACTTTAATATTCACTCTATCATTAAAAGAAAATAACTTAAAAAAAAACATAACCATAATTCAAACACACTTAAAATTTTAAAAAATTTCCAATATCAAATATTTCCCCAACTGTCTCCCAAAAATTATTTGTAGTTTGTTCAAAACAGGGTTCAATTAAGGTCCCCCTGTTGCAATGAGTTGTATCTCTTAACTCTTTTTTAAGCTTTAAGTTCCTCTTCATTGTACTTCTATCTTTACAATTTATTTGTTGAAGAAAGTAGCTCATTTGTCCTGTAAATGTACATAGTCTGGATGTGCTGATTTTTATCCCTTTATTGTTTATCATATTCCTCTGTGCCTGGTACTTCCTGAGAACTGGGAGTTATACCTAATGGCTTGAGCAGATTCAGGTTCAATTTTGGACAAGAACTCTTCTTAAGTGGCATTATATATATCTATCTGGAGGCCTGTAATATCTGGCAGTCTCTCTCTGGTGATATTAGTGGCCACTGGTGATTTCTGTTAGATCCAGAAGTTCATTAAAGATCACACATGGTAATAGTCTATCATTCCTTCTGTACCTATTAGCTGCAATATTGAAAAAAGACAAACTTCCCGACACCAATTACTTGGTTACTCTGAGGTGTAATTCATATAGGAAAAGCAAAACAATTGCTCAATTCTTTCCCATGTCCCTGCACCACACTGTCTCTCTCTACCACATCAAAATGTGTTTTCCTTTGAGCCTCATCCACAAAGGCACACTGTGACATTCTCTCCCCCAAAGCTGCAGGGAGAGGAAGACCTGGTTACCCCCCATTGGCCCCTCAGATACACATGACAATCCCCATTTAGTGAGCTGCCTTTCATGTGCTGACCTGTGGACTAGGAATCAGGGTTTCGAATGTGAGTCCAAAACCCTTGTCCTTGGAGGCTCCTTATCTAACGGCTCATGAGGGGACCTGCCAGCAAAAGACTAGTTACCCTATATACGTGCATATGTGAAAATAAACACGGAGGCCTACTGTCTTCTGCCAGGATGGGGTTGTCAGCCAAGCCTCCATAGAAGCAGTGACAATTGCCTTTTGGTGATCTCTGCTCTGACTTGGTTGTCACTGAGTTATCTTCAGCACCAGCTGCCCAGACTGGTCTCAGCCATGCTGACAATCAGCAGAAGGCTGAGACTGCTGGGGCCTCTATCTTCTACAAGAGCTTGACTAAACACACATGACTTTAGATAAAGACCAGAAGAAAACTAGAAAAACTAGACAGTTTATAGTAAGATGGCAGGAGTATAGGTGAAGTCTTTAAAAATTCTTTTCCATATTGCTATAGCATTGTTTTTCATAATAAACAAAATCGGATCAGCTTAGTGCAGCAAAAACAAAACCAAAGCATACAAATAAAAAACGCTGTGTGCGCTAACATTATATAAAGGTCTGGCTCCCTCTGCTTTACCTCCTATATTGAGAAAACATAGCAAGTCACTATACCTCCTATATTGAGAAAACAAGAGCAGTCATCTGGAGAGAGAATAAGTCTCGGGTCTCTCTGTCCTGACTCCTGCTTGTGGGATTAGCTGAGAGTTTCTCCCTTCACACTGGGGGACACTACCACCTCAAGTATCCTTCCTCTTCCAGTCTGAGCAGAAAGAGGCTACTTGGACAAGTGTATTAAAGGATGACTCACTGACAAATTAAAATAAGATTCCCCCACCCCCAGCTTCACACCCCTCCCAGCAACATATGTTCCTTGTTCTTTTTTCCAGTGGGAAAGATCTGTGATTAGTTACAGGAAGAACCTGGTGGGCTGAGTTCTGGGGTCTTCCCTTGGTCAGGTGAAGGTATTTTCTGAAGAGGACCCAGTGCCCTCAGTGATGAGCTCAACCTACCCCTGCTCTCCTCCTCTCATCTGCCCCCAGGTCCTCTCCAGGTTCCCTTGTCATCCTGTGTCCCTTCTTTTCCATTTATTATCACCCTCTCTCCAGCCTCTGTGGCCTCTTGCCTGACTAGTGAGAGGCTGCCAAAGAGTCTCTGCCTCTTGGGGCCCACCTGCCAGGCCTTTCTATACATGGGGCTCATTTCTGAAAACACTTCTGCCAAACACACCAACGGCATATTTCATGATACTAAGGAATGACTGTAACCTTTTAGGTAAATTATAGTATTTTTTTTTTTAATTTTTTTTTTCAACGTTTATTTATTTTTGGGACAGAGAGAGACAGAGCATGAGCAGGGAGGACAGAGAGGGGGGGAGACACAGAATGGGAAACAGGCTCAAGGCTCTGGACATCAGCCAGGAGAACCCGACCCAGGCAGGCTGTCTGCAGGACCCTTGTCGATGACCTGGCTGAAGTGAGACCTTAACCCGACCTCTGCCAATGAAGCAGAAGTGTATATATAGTATTAGGACTTTTAATTTTTTTTTTTTTTAATTTTTAAGTTTATGTATTTGAGGAAAAGCTCCTAGAGAAGGAGCAGAGAGAGAAAAGAATCCCAAGCAGGCTCTGATGCTATAAAAGGCTTCAGGGTCCCATTAAGGACTCAAACGGATGAAAAGAGTCAGTTAGTGTAACGACATGGAAGCCACTCAGGCTTCGAGGACTTTTTTTTTTATTAATTTTTTTTTTCGCGTTTATTTATTTTTGGACAGAGAGGGGAACAGAGCATGAGCGGGAGGGGCAGAGAGGGGAACACAGAATGCGGAAAAAACCAGACTCTGAGCCATCAGCTGGAGCCTGGCCAGCGAGGGGCTGCCGAACTCCGCGGTTGGCAGAAGTCGTGACCTGGTCGGTAACAACAAACCTGCGCCACCAAGCGCCCGGACTTTTTTTTTTTTTAAAGGGTATTTCTCCGGGCACCTGGGGGTTCGGTGGTTGCATCTGACTCTTGAGACTCAGGTCCCGCGATCTCACAGTTGGTTGGGATCAAGCCTGATGAGCTATATGCTGACAACTGGAAACTACTAGCAAGTCTCTCTCTCTCTCTCTCTCTCTCTCTCTGTCCCTCCCACAAGCTCACGTAGATGGGTACTCTCTCTCTCTCTCTCTCAAGAATAAGTAAATAAACTTAAAAAGTATAATTTACTTCACTTTCAGTGATACATAATTGTCTATAGATGAAGAGATATGATGCCTGAAGCTTAATAAAGAGTAAAAAGGAAGGTGAGAACATGTGGGATATAAATGAAATAAGACAGGCCATGAGTTGGGGTCCCTGGGTGGCTCAGTGGGTTAAGCATCCAACTTCAGCTCAGGTCATGATCTCATGGGTTCATGAATTTGAGCCCCTAAGGCTTCTATGGTGACAACTGGCCTGGAGCCTGCTTCAGATTCTGTGTCTCCCTCTCTCTGCCCTCCTAACTCAAGCTGTCTCTCTCTCTCTCTCTCTCTCCTCTTAAAAATAAATAAAACAGGGCACCTGGGCTCAGTCAGTTAACATCTGACTTGTCCAGGTCATGATCAGTCTGAGTTTTGAGCCCAGCGTGTTTCTAATGCTGACAGCTCAGAGCTTCTACTTCAGACCTGTGTCTCCTCCTACTACTCTCTCTGCCTCTCCCCTGCTCATGCTCTGTTTCTCTCTGTCTCTCAATAACAAAATAAACGTTAAAAAATTTAAAAAATAACAATAATAAAATAAATAAATAAAACATTAAAAATTTAATTAAAAAAAAAAAAGATTGGCCATGAGTTGATAATCATTGAAGCTGCAATGATAAGGAAACAGGGATTTATTATACTAGTCTACTTTACCTATTTGAAATTTTCCATTAAAATAAAAAACTTGCAAAGGATCCCTTTTGTGATAAGAACATGTAAGGACAGCATGGCATCCAACTTCCCACCTGTCTTTCCAATTGCACCTAGACTATGCCTTAAGCTCACTCCATGTTACTTTCGGAAAGCCTAATGTACACAGGTTCCTGCTTGGCCCAACATGGTCCCTCATGCCAGACAGATAAGGTCTAGTCTCCCCTAACATCTGTATAAGGAACTTCAACATCCCTTCCTCTGTCATTCTATGACTATCTATTGTGCACATACTATGTGCCAAGCACAACACACAGCCTCTGCCCTCAGAGCACAAGCAAGTCAGGGGGAATGTGAGTAAACCTGGGTAGAGTTCGACTAAGGGTTCTGATGGATATTGGTCTGGGGTGACAGGAAGCACAGAATATGAGTTGGCTGGGAGGGTGAGGGGGCCAGGAAGGTTCCCAGAGTGGGGGCCACCTGCACACAGAGGTGTTTTCTCCTCTTGCCCAAGTTCCCCCTCGCCTCTCTGTATAGATGCTTTCTTCCCTTCAAGGCCAACTCAAATCCCACCTCCTGGGACACTGTCACTGCCCTCCCAGGCAAGATGTAGCCCCACCAATATCCTGGGAAATGGAGCACATACTGTTCATGAAGGGACCACACAAATGCTTAGAGAAGCTGGCCAGGTCACATGCCTGAGGGTGCAAGACAAGTCCAAGACTAGAGGGTGTGGCTGTTCTCTGGTAAAACAGAGGGCATGTGCTCATTCCAAAGTGCCAGCCTTCCCATGGCTGGCTGTGCATGTGGACCCAGTACTATAACTGAGGCTCTTCTATTTCTAGAAAGGCTAGATTTTATTATCTATAGTACAGTGTTGTGTCAAAGTATCTGCAATACACTGTTTTATGAATAATATAATCATGCATCATGTTGTATATACTATACAACTTCTCATATACAAATTCAAATAAATCCAAATTTGTATATGAAATCTTCAAACTAAAAAAAATGCAACTCAGATATTTTAAAAATATTTTGTGTCTTGAGGGCAGTGAAACTATTCTGTAATGGTGGCTACATGTCATTACAAATTTATCTAAACCCATAGAATGTATAACACCAAGAGTGATCTGTAATGTAAACTACAAATACTGGGTGATAATGTGACAATGCAGGTTTACCAATTACAATAAATGTCCCACTCTGGTAGGGGATGTTGACAATGGAGGAGATTGTGCAGGTATGGAGACAGGGGGTATACAAGAAATCTCTCTTCCTTCCACTCAAGTTTGCTTTGAACCTACAACTGCTCTAAATTACAAAATGTATTATAAAAAAAAAAAAAAAAAAAAAAAAAAAAAAAAAAAAAACCCAAAGAAACCAAGAAACCCCACTTTATGGGCCAAACCAAATTGTATCTGTAGTTCAAATTAAGTCCCAGATTGCAAGTTTATAATTTCTGGCATATTTCATTGTTATTTGACACTTACTGGGTATTAACGCAGCTTTCTCATGTATGTGTGTTTTTCTTAATTTCAGGCTCCTTGCAGAAACAATATTTCACCTCCACTCACAAAACCTTTGGAGCCTGCTGGTGGGGACGAGTCACTCCCCGAGCAGGCACTTACTTCTGACTGGCCTCCATCTCCAACAGGGCGGACAGGGCTGATGTTCCCTTTTTGCCAACTGGGGGGCCGGTAGACTCAAGGGAGTGTGTGGCAATGGGCCCGGTCATCTGTAAGCCTTTCATGGCGGTCCCTTTCTAAAGCAGAGAAGAGGAGACAAGACCATCAGCCTCAGTGGGCTCCCTTAGCAGATGCCACTCACAGCCCAGAGCGTGCCTGCCGTATCTGTTGTGCTTGAGGCTCTGGGAATCCAATTAACAGAGGCAAGTGACATGGGTTCCTGCTATTCAGTAAATGCTTAGAACAGCTTTTCACTTCTACTGAAGGTTCAAATGCCTGTCAACTCAAAACAAACTGCCTCCTTGAGGTGGGTTCCACAAATCACTTCACCCTTGTCGCACCACCAGGAAGTAAATAATGTTCTACCTAAATCACGGAAGAAGAAACCGAGTCCCAGAGAAGTTAAGTAACCTATCCCAAATCCCACTGAAGCTAGAGTTCAAGCTCTAGTCATCTGGTTTCAAAACTAAAGTTCTTTCTACCATGCAAGGTCTTTCAGAAATGTTTCTAATTATAAGCAATGCTGTGTACAAAGTGTAGTCAGTGTGGGGGAAGAACATGGAACTTGGGGTTAAAAACACAGCTAATGAAACATCACTACTCACAGTGGAAAGGAATGAATTACTGATACAAGCCACAAATTGTATGAACTTGGGTGAATCCCAGAGGCATTATCCTGAGTGAAAGAAGGCAGCTTCTCAAAAGGTTACACATTATATGATTCTGTGTATATGACTTTTGGAAAAGGCAACAGTACAGTGATGGAGAACAGGCCAGTGGCTGCCAGGGGTTATAGATGGAGGCAAAGTGTGACTATAAAGGGTGGCACGAGGGAGTTTTTTGGGAGTGATAGAACTACTCTGTATCCTGATTGTAGTTGTAGTGTTACATGAATCTATGCCTCTGTTAAAATTCACAGACCTGTACACACACACACACACACACACACACACACACACACACACACACAGAATCCCAGATCTGCCCTGTACTGGCTGGGCATATCCCATAACCCCATGAGCCTCAGTATCCTCACTGGGTGGTGTGGGGCTGAACACACCCAAGGTGCTGGAAATTCCAAAAGTAATGAGAGTTAAACAAGTATCGCTGCCACTACCCTTGAGTGACTTTTACTCAGTAATCCAGAGGAAGCAACTGGGCTTGACATAGGGTCTTACCTGGGGAATGCACGAAGGAGCTGTGTGTCCTCAGGTAGGCAAGGGTGGTCCCGTGCCACAGAACACTACCCACTGGCTGCCTGTACCCTATCCCTCCCTCCTTCACCCTGCACTAGAGGAGAACTCACTATTTCAGAGTTAAGATAAATGCAACTGTAGAGTAAATAAACCGGTCAGAGAGAGGCCCCTGAGATAGGAGGAGACCAAGCACAGCCCCCACGGGGCCCACAGAGCCCTACCCGCATCATGCGATCTGAGCGATGCCGCCTGCGGATCCGGTTCAAACCCTCCACGAAGCGGATAAAACCATCCAGGAGCTGCCATTCTTCTTCATCCGCCCGGGGCCTGTCCCCATAGATGTCGCAGTGGGCTTCCCCCTCTGTGATGCGCTTGGTGGCAGTGACACAGGCTGGCAGCAGCAGGAAGCGGGTCCTCCAGAACTTCAGAGACTCAATTAAGCTGTGGAGGGCCAAAGGGAGAAAAGGGGGTGTGGTGAGCAAAAGCAGACAATAAAAGCACGCCTAATGAACACCCCATCTTGACCCTGTCCTCAGAGTCGGTATGTGACGAGCAAGCTCCCCTTGAATAAGTGTTCGTCTGATGCTACATCTCATGGCTTCATTTAAAACACAAGCTTTGGAGGTAGGCCATGAAACGTGCTTTTAGTTTATATCCCAGAGATGTCAGAATGCTTCGTGCTGCCAGACTCGGTGGGGTTGTGGCTTTTTATCATCACAATCATAAATGACACATAAAAATTAAAAATCAAAAATGAGACACCACAGGCAGTCAGGAAAAGGTTAAGAACATGATCTACGCTGACATTTCATCAAAGAGCACTTCATCACTGAAGTTTCTGTTGTTGTACTGTGGTAAAACATACATAGCAAAATGTGCCACGTTAACAATCCTGAAGTGTACACTTACTTCTATGCCATCAAGTACGTTCACACTGCTGTGCAACCATCACCACCACCCACCTTCTCACTGAGTTTTGTAACCCAGTGCAGATGTGCTTTTTGTTCTTCCATGTTTTCTAAAACAAACATCATCTTGTAATCAGAAAAAAGGACAGACATGTTAAAATTCAGGTACACCCAAGGCAGCCAGACGGAAAGCCAAGGCACACTCTCTGACCTGAAGTCCTCAGACCCAGCAGAACAGATATACTGATCTAAGTAATTCCACTTGTACTCCTCCAGCCGCTCATGGGAGAATTCCACCCAACAGGAGACGAACTCTGAGTCCGAGTGGGAGGGACAGAGGCTGTAGGTGTAGTGGATCTGGGCAGATTCATAAGGGTACCTGAAAAACAAAGGGCATGCCCAGAAGTCCAAAAGAGAATTACTTCTCCTCCAATTCTTCTGGACCTTTCCATCTCCATATACTTAGCACCATCCTTGGCATTTCAACCCTCAAGTACAGTAACCAACTCATCCCAAGGGACTGGAAACGGAAATTTCTTAGTTCTTAAACTTTGTCATTCTTTTACCCTCCCATTCTTTATTTTTAATTGGCTTTCTAGGAATCAGGCTAAATATCATAGGCTGAATCATAATCCCTTTTAGAGGAAGGTGAGCTATAACCATAAAATAATCCTAGAGAACAAAACAGTAATTCCAAGAAAAGGAAAACCAACCACTCAACTTATCTTGAATTATGTCATGCACATAAGTCATTATGTGCACAGCATGCATTACAAACACAAGTTAGTAATGTGGACACAATTCAGGACAGTAGGTGAAAACCTTAAATTTCCAAGGACTCACTTGGGAAGGTAACGTGTCACTGTGATCATCTTATCCTTCAGCGTCACTTTGTGGAATGTTCTGCCCATACTCAGCCAGTACTGGTCCTCCTCCTCAGGGCAGTTTCGGGACACAAGGCCTAACAGAGGGGGGGTTAAAATCATTTCCTCCATCTAGTCGAGGATCATTCCTTTAACAGGCAATTGCTTCTCTTCCATATACAGTCAGAAAAAGGAGAAACAAAAGAGGCAACTCTTTTGAGGGCCAGTTTCATGGAAAAGACTTATTTTTGGTAAAAAAAAAAAAAGTCCTGAAGTTGGCAGAAATTTTCTGTTACTAAACCAGCCAGCAGCAGATTAGAGCCCGGGGTGCTGACAGCATCCAGAAGACACACTCAAAGCCGAACAGCCTGATTCCTCAGCCTTGGAGAAGGAAAGCTCTGGATTAGATGTTAATGGGCTAAGACTCAACTCTGGGACTGAAATGAAACTCCACTCCACTCAAGCACAAGCTGCCACTCTAGCAGTTAAGGTCCTCGCCCCCAGTGTGGCAGCCAACCTACCTTTAGTTTCCGTGACTCCCACACTATAACAATGCTTTGGTCTTTTTTTTTAAAAGTTTATTTATTTATTTAGAAAGAAAGAGATAGGGAGCACGCACAAGCCAGGGAGGGGCAGAGAGAGAGGGAGAGAATCCCAAGCAGGCTCCATGCTGTCAGCACAGAGCCCCAAGTGGGGCTCCATCTCACAAACCATGAGATCATGACCTGAGCTGAAAGCAAGAGCCAGAGGCTTAACCAACTGAACCACCCAGGCACCCAAAACCATGCTTCAGTTGTAATTTTCTTCTCTAAACATTTGCTCCTGTTGCTTTTTCAGCCTTCTCTTTCTGGGCCATCAAGATCCCACAGATCACTTAAGGTCACCATCAAAATTGCTATCAGCAGTTTGAATTTTACCCTGGATGTGGCTCCACATGTGCGTGTCTCACACCCTTTCAAAGTGGAGGTTCCATGAGGCCGGGGCCCAAATCTTGTTTGTCTTTAAATTTTCTGTAGCACCTGACAAAATGCCATGCCCACCGCAGGTATTGAAAACATACTAGGTGAATTGAATTGTGCATAGAAAGAGGGAAATTCTGAGGAATCAAGAAAACTGTAAGCTTTTAAGAGAGTAAAAATAGTGCCTTGATGGACAACTGAGCAAAGACAAGATTCTTGTGATTAGAAATGAAACCGGGTGCCCTCATGCAGTTCTGAGAGACAGTCACACAGGGCAGGCAGCATGGGAGTTGTCAGGATGAGAGGATGGCAGAGGTTGAAAGGACCTTCACTAGGAACGCAAAATTTCCCAGGTGATAGTGAGGGGCGGCAGTCAGGCTGCATATAAGAGGACAGGCTTTGACTCAGAGGACCCTAGGTTAAACCCCATCACTTCCATTTGTCAGCAGTGTGCCCTTGGGTACCAAACCTCTCTGAGTCTCACTTTCTGCAACTAGAGTGTGTCTGAGGGCCCCCATCCCTGCATTCCTTCTTTCTTGCAACAACCCCCTGCTGGCTGTAAGGAAGACAAAGTCATGGGATAATGTTCATGAGCACCTAGCACAGTACTGAGACCCCACTCTAAATTAGTTCCTGTTTTGGGGCATCTGGGTGGCTCAGTCGGTTAAGTGTCCAACTTTAGTTCAGGTCATGATCTCACAGTTCATGTGCTGGAGCCCCACGTTGGGCTGTCTGCTGTCAGCACAGAGCCCGCTTCAGATTCTCTGCACCACCACCCCATCCCACCCCCACTTGTTCTCTAAATAAATTAATTAAATAAATAAATAAACTAAAAAAAGGAAAGAAAAAAATTAATTGGTTCCTGTTTTCATCCTGCACAGCACTCTTGACAATCTGTGATCAAATAAATACTTGCGGTTTATTTAGTCTAATGCTTGTTTTGCCCAGTAGACAATAAACTTTGAGGACAGGGCTGAGGCTATTCTGTTCACTACTGGAACAGGGTCCCCCCTCATAACTGGTAGTCAACAAATCTTCAATCAGAAGCAATCTCACTTATGATAGTCACTTTTCCAATAACTAATAAACAACAATGATACCATTTCTGTTACTACAGAAATAAAAGGATTAAATTTATCACAGGAAAAAATAGCCAGAAAGAGTATGGTCAGGTGAGTAGACTGGCCAACTAGCCATGACATGAGACTCATGAATCGACCAGAGCAGAAGTGGATGCCAGAGGAATTATGAACCTCTAAGGGCTATTCTAGAGAAAAGCAGGTAGGAAGGCTAGATGGGGCCACTGACACTAAATAAAGATTAATTCATTCCACTATTCCTGGGATAAAGAACAAAATCCTTCACATGGCCCTGTGAGGCCTGGGTCTCCTGACATGTCTGGCCACATCTCCAGCTTACTCCCTGTGCTCCATCCCACCAGTCTTCTTTTTGTTGCCCAGAAAGTGTCACAGTGCCTCCTGCCACAGAGCCTTTGCACATACTAATCCCTCTGCCTGGCATGTTCTTCCCATATACTTCTACCCACTCCCAACCTGGTTCTCTTCCTAGTAACTCTTGCACATAGTTTAGGTCTCACCTCAAACATCACCTCCTCACGGAAGCCATCCCTGACCCTCCAGACCAGATCAAGACCAATATTAAATATCCTTATAGCCCTTTGATTTTTCCTTCACAGTCTTTATCACAACAAGGAATTATATTATTTCATAGTATGATTAATGTTATTTTTCCCCACTGGGCTATAAATGCCCCACAGAGCAAGGGCTTCAAAAATACTGTTGACTGAATGAATGAATGAATGAATGAATATATTTATCAACCCATATTGTTGTATGCCAGGCACGGTGGTCTCCAATGTAAAGGATAAAAACGTGAGGTTGACATAGTCCTGGAACTCAAGAAGATTACTATTCAGTACAGTCTAGAAAATAAAAAGAAGACAACAAGTGATAAATAACATAATGGGCTCCCAAGAAAATCCAGAGGGAGCCCAAAGCTTCATCATAAGCAACAAGGCCTGGACTGGATAGACCACCAAGCTCTCTATCACAGATCCATACTTCTGTGATTTTCTGGCCAGAGGCACTCTAATGGAGTCAAAGATGATCTGAGGTTTTGAGCTGGGAGGTTAGGAAAGTGGGGAATCTCATTAGCTGCAAGGAGGAAGCAGGAGCCTAACAGGTACTTACTGATTGTTCTGGGAAATGATCCCTGCTTTCTGGTTCTAGGCACCCATACTTAATTCTCTCTACCTGACTTATTTCAGAAGAGCTCTCCGGAGCCTGGCTGTAACTCAATTGGCATCACTGAGTCTCTGTCACTTAGTGTCTGCCACTCACAGACGATCCATTCTTGCTTCAATGTGCTAAGCTTCAGCAACAAGTAAGAGAAGATGAATCCAGAATGGGGGGGTGGGGTGGGAAGTATAAACTTCAGGTTTACAAAACATCTGAGAACCTGCTGTGTGCCAGGTACTGTGCTAGAAATAAATATTGGGTCTAAAGGGACGCCTGGGTGGCTCAGTCGGTTGCATGTCCAACTTCGGCTCAGGTCACAATCTCACAGTTTGTGAGTTCGAGCCCCGTGTCGGGCTCTGTGCTGACAGCTCAGAGCCTGGAGCCTGCTTCGGATTCTGTGTCTCCCTCTCTCTCTGCCCCTAACCCACTTGCATTGTCGCTGTCTCTCCCAAAAATAAAAATAAACATTAAAAAAAGTATATTGGGTCTAAAATATGCACTATGTACTTTGACAGTTCAGTCCTGGCTCAGCTGCCTGCTACTCCAGGGTATTGCCAAAGCCAGGCTATAACATTCCTGAACTGGGTCATATCCTCTTCCTTAAAAGGAGAGTGGTAGACTAAAGAAAATTTTAAGATAAATCTGGGCCTAGTGGAGACTATATTCTTCATGTAAAGTAAAATTTTGTGAAATTTGTGTTGAAAAATAATTACTCCTAAATTTGTCTATTCCCTACCATCTTGAGAACGTACTCATACAAATTAAGTTGAAAAGAAAAAATACAAGTCCCCAGAGAAAAACTTACCTCGGCTATAGAGTGGGCTGCTGCTCAGCGGGGGTGGGACAGCAGGGTTGGGTTTCTGTGCCTTGGGCTGCACTATGATTTGGTAGCCCTGCATGAGACGCTGGCAGATGAACTCTTCAAACACCTGCTGGGCCGTCATCTGCACACCTTCCTCATCCCTCCTGAGAAAACAGACGGTTGTTCACATGGGTGTGCTTGGCCCAGGTCAGAGTGACACTCAGAGTCTATACTCCCATCCTCTGTTTTTGCTTTGACCCCACAAGCCAGCCCTGATAACCATTGTATGGTGGTTCATAAAACTATCAATCTATAAACCAGTTTTGGGAGAAATGATCAGTTGAAAAGAGGCAGAAGAAGAAGGCAAATAAAAGCTAATAGCCAATCTTAGAAAAGAAGATCAGGGATGCCCGGGTGGCTCAGTCAGTAGAGCGTTCAACTTTTGATTTTGGTTCTGGTCATGATCTCAGGGCTGTAGGTGATCTCAGGCGCCTGGATGGTTTAGTCAGTTAAGCCTCCGACTCTTGATTTTGGCTCAGGTCATGATCCCACAGTCGTGAGATCGAGCCCCATGTCGGGCTCTATGCTGACAGCATGGAGCCTGCTTGGGATTCTCTCTCTCTCTCCCCCTCTCTCTCTGCCCCTCCCCTGCTTGTGCACATACTTTCTCTCAAAATAAATAAACATTTTTTTTAATTAAAAAAAAATTTATCTTTCTCTCCCTCTGCCCCTCTCTCCAGCTAGTGCACTCTCTAAAACTTAAAAAAAAAAATGTTTTTAATTAAAAAAAAATTTTTTAAAGAGATTTAGTGTGTCTAGAACAAATGCAATAGAAAAATATGAGAAAGGATCAATGAGGACAAATGGCTAAAGGAGGCATGTCAATGGAACTCTAAAAAAAAAATTGACAATTCTTGCTTCAATAAAATTCTCTAAACAGAAAAGGAAGACACAGGCTTGAAAATGCAGTGTTTTGATGCATACCCCAAACCCTCCTCTGACACCGACCTGTCGATGTCTGCTTCTGGGAGGAGATCATAACAGCCCTCCGTGTAGTCATTCTGCAGGCCCTGGCGGTCAGGGAAGTAGTCGGTGGTGAGGGGGAGACACGCCGGAGTAGTGAGAGACTTCCAGTCCACTCCAACTGTGCAACAGAAGCCTGGCACTACAGGGGGAGCAGACAGTGTCAGAACTGCCTCGTGTAACAGGGGAGAAAGGTACGTGTGGTCACCAGGGCAGGTGTGGGACATGGGTGGGGTGGGAGAGAGGAGTGAAAGGTGACAAAATTGCCAGGAAAGGGATGGAAAAGAAGAAAAGGGGTGGGGGAGGGAGGAAGAGAGAAACAGAGTTTGTTAGATAATGCAGTGCAAGTGCTTATCCAATCCCATCATGCAAATGGGATTCACAGCTGATATTTTTCATTTTTTGCCGATCTTCAGCTAACAGCCACAATGCCAGTGAGGTTACTGCAGGGTAGCACAGGCAGTGTTATGCATCGAAGCAAATCAACATTCCAAGAGCAGAAAACAGGCTCAAGCCAGAGCCTCTCTGGAGGACTGCAGAGTGGCCGGTGGGGAAAGAAGAGCTCAGCCAGGTTTTGGAGCAATCAGCACATGGTAGCAGAATTCAGGAATACTTTCAGAATTGCAAAAATAGGTCACAGATCCAAAAGGGTAGGAGGAGAAATCAAAGAAGGGTGTCTGGGAAAGTTACAAGGCCATAACGTCAAGAGACAGACTTTAACAATCTAGAAATGAAAGCTGCAATCAGCAGAGTGGGCCCGATCACATGGATCTGTCCTGAATCGCCTGCTCTTTGGTTAAAGCAGGGTTTCTCCACCTTGGCACTACTGACATTTTAGACTGGAAAATTCTTTGTCTTGGGGGGCAGTCCTTTGTATTTTAGGATTTGAACAGCATCCCTGGACTCTACTTACTAGATGCCAGTGGCATCTCCCGGTTGTAAAAACCAAAAACGTCTGCAGATGTTGCCACATGTCCCCCCAGGGAGCAAAATCATCCGCAGTTGAGAATCACTGACTTAAGGTAATAGGGAAGTTATCTCTTTAAGTAATTTAAGCAAATATTATTTTTCAAATCTTTATACAAGGGAGCAATCTGAAGCAAAAACACTCCATGACTTTGCCTCTGAGTATCAAGCAAGGGACACCTTAAACACCTTATCTTTGGGGTGCCAGGATGGCTCAGTTGGTTACGCATCCGACTCTGGATTTCGGCTCAAGTCATGATCTCACGGTTGTGAGACTGAGCCCCACGTTGGGCTCCGCGCTGAGTGTGTAACCTGCTTGGGATTCTCTGTCTCCATCTCTCTCTGACCCTCCGCAGCTCACACTCGCATGAACATGTGCGCGCTCCCTCTCTAACAGTAAGTAAATAAATCAATAAATAGCACCTTATCTTTTGCACAGTGCTAATGCAGCTTACATTGTGATTCACCTCTGTCTCATTCACCCTATCTCATCAGCTGACACATGGCCTCCTCAGAGCAGGTACTGCGACATCACTGACCCCTTTAAACACCTGGCCAAGCCGAACCTCCCAGAAGTTACTCAATCAGAAGCCTCTCTGCTTAGGGATCTTTCCACCACATAGTGACACACACACACTACCCAATACAACAGAGTCCCACTGAACCTAGAGTTAAAGGACAAGAAGAGGACCCGACGCATAGTGGGAAACACGCCCCATGTAGCACCACTGCCTTAGGAAATTGCAACAAAACTAACTCCCTGATCTACACAGGTCTAGGGTATTTTATTTGTTTATTTGTTTGTTTGAATTCTATTTTAGTGTGGTAAGCACACTTAACATGAGAGCTACTCTTGGCAAAATTTTAAGAGTACAACACAGGAATGCTAACTTGGGCACAGTGTTGTGCAGCAGATCTCTAGAATTTATTCATCATGCATAACTGGAATGTTATATCCACTGATTAGCAACTCCTCACTTCCACCTCCCCTCAAGCCCCTGGCAACCACCATTCTACTCTCTGATTCTGTGAGTTTGACTATACACAGGCCTTGATAACTCATTAACACTTCAAGAATTAAAAAATCACAATCCAAAAGAACCTAACTGATCACCCCAATTTCCCAATATGGCAGATGAAGGAGTAAGCTTGTTCCTAGTTCCCAGTTAGAACCAGGAGCAGAAGGAAGACACCCAATCAAAACTACAGTAGGAAGCCAGAAGCAGAAGACAGTTGAATATGCTGTCTTAGATCGTTCTGGCTCTCATTAGCTTCCTGACCCTCTGGATCACAAACATCCTTCAGAAATGTTTTCTGCTGGGCACACACCAAGATACAAACATTCAAATGTCTGGTCCAAAATCCCATGGTGAGAAAAGTTCCTGATTCTTAGTTTAATGATGTTTTTTCCTTGGGCAAACAGTGTGGCCTCTTTTCTAACTCCGATATCTTTACGCCCTATAGAGAAGGACTCTGAAGAGGGCCCACAACAGAACCGTTGAATTAGCAACGATAAACATGGATTCCAAAATCCAGTGCTAGGGTTGTACAGAAAAAACAGGCTCATCTATTCATTGTTGGCAGCATTCTGGAAAATAATCATCCTGCCAATCATACTTTGGGGGAAATATATTCCAGGATGTGAACTGAAAGAAAAGATACACCCACTGCACCATGTACTATACCTGTATTCAATAGTATTGCTAAAAAACTAGAAACCACCCAAAATGACCCCCAATAATAAATGATTTTTCAAACTGGGATGTAATGTGTTTGATACATGTGCTAAGTCACTAAAAATGACTAGCGGGGGGACACATGGTTGCTCAGTGGGTTAAGCATCCAACTCTTGGTTTCAGCTCAGGTCATGATCTCGAGGTTCCTGGGTTTGACCCCCCACATTGGGCTCTGTGCTGGCAGTGTGGAGCCTGCTTGGGATTCTCCCTCCCTCTCTTTCTGCCCTTCCCCGACGTGTGCACACATGTGCG